CCAGAGTCAACTTTCCTCCAAATAACTCCCTGCAACCCAGACTGCAGAACCACAGAAACAGGCACAGGAGCAGGATACAAGCAGGTAGCTGTTTGTCCCTGGCATTACTGCAGAGACTGGGTTAACATTATACTTCCCTGATTCAGTTTTTATAGACCAAACAGTAGCAGTTCCCTCCCTCAGTGGTAAGTCAAAGCCTTTCCCTGATGGAGGGATTAGTTCTCTATTGTCTTTCTACCTGCTGGATGTTTTCTCTGCTGTCTCTCTCACCCTGCAATCACATTTTGCTCAGCCGAGCTTTCAGTGCCCAGAAATGCAACTTAGTTCTTACTGCAAATCCAGTGTAGTTCTGCAGCCTCTCCCATAAGTTTCCTCTGACGGGACCCTCCACCTCCCAGCAGCACCTTGGTGCTATCTGAGTGCTGGATTTAGGATGAGCTCTGGGTGTGACAGGGACACAGCAGACTGATTTGGGATTGACTGCAAAGCTGGCACCAAGGAGAATTGCCCCCAAAGCTGGTGAAGCAAATGGTGTCTCTGAATCGGCACCAGTCGGTTGCCCTGATGCTGGGGTTTGATCTGTTGGATCCAAAGCAGCCTGGTTTGCACTCATATCACTATGCTTAAAGAATACTCACTTAATCTCACTTAGAAATGTTTACTTGCAAGGACCAGATGGCCCAGGGAGTTGGGCTAAACAAAGCATTTTACTTCTAGGTCATGCATTCTAATCCAGTCCAGGTTGGTAATAAATGAACATACTCACCTGATAGCCACTTTTGGCTTCATTTTTGATTGTTTTTCAGGCTAATTTCCAAGGGGAGATGTCACACCACAAAATCTCCCTCCGTGCCCTGCCACAGTTGGTACTGATTTGACTGTCTCTGTGGAGAAGCCAAGGATCAAATGCTCCGTGGCGCCAGACTGTTTTCTTTTGCAGCCTGCAGGTAAGGGGAAGTTGTCCCGTGTCTGGCTGTGTCACGCTTGCTCTGCGGATGGGCAGGATTTCAGCTTGCAAATCTGCCAGTCCAACCCCCTCCACCACTGTGAAATTAATTTTTAAAAAAAGGGAAAATGTTTAATTGCAGTTGACATATAGGCACTCTCTGCTATGAACTTTACACGCAATCACAGATAACAGCATCAAAATTAATGCCTGCTTCCCACTTGTCCTGCTATAAGCAATAAACGTTTGGCAAGTCAGTAAATAACAAAATTCTCATGTGGCCATCTACAGGTCACCAGGATACTTAAGAAGTTTGCGTTAATTATACCATGTTTGCCATCAAAGAGGGGATATTAACCCTTTCGAGCTGCTGTAGGAAAGCACTGGAATCAATTGAAAGTAAGTAAATGAATTCTTGCCACTAAAAGCACAACCTTTGCAAAATAATAATAATAATAATAATAAAAGAGGATGTTTGAGGCAAAAGCCTCACTAGACATCATGGAAAACACGGTACCTTTTCAGCTTTCCTTTTATTTATTTTGTATTTTGACATCAAACACTCCCTGTAACCTAATCTTCTTGGCTTTTGATGTGGCCGTGGAGACATGACAATTAAGCACGGCTTAAAACAATAATCCCAACAACGGGAACCAAAGGCAAGTAATGTCAGGGTTCCCCCCTCACAAAAAGCCTGTCCCCCAGTGTTTGGTGGTAGTGAAAGGACTGTAAATCCCAATTTGTTGCCTCGATATCTGCTCTGTGCTTAGACTTTACGTTGAACTTTACACACTTGCTCCATTTCCATTCCCTGCTGTTTGTTTTTCTTCTGCTATGCAAAATGTCTGGAGACAAACACGATACACACGTTGCAGAGAGATGGTTTGATCTTTCACAGATTAGTGCCACCTGACAAACAGAGGATTATTTATTATCTGTGTTGCAGGAACTGCTGAAGGCCCCGCTCAGACAGGCACACTCCTCCGGGCGCTGGGAGATGCAGCACCTTCCTGACAACCAGATGGATTATGGCCCCGATTCTGTGAGCGGGTCGGAGCAACCCAGCAAAATGCCTGCAGACAGGCAACCCTGAGGTAAACCCTCATCACAGTCTGAATGGGTGTGTAATGTGCAACCAAAGCAAATAGCTTGATTATTGGAAATTATTTTCAAGAGATGTAGTTAGTTCTCCCGTCTCAACTATTCAAAGACGGAAGGAGAGTGGCTGAGTTCAGTTATAACCCTTTTTTAAACCTGCCTGGAAAAGAACACGTTTCTTTTTAAATGAAGCTTGCACGGTATGCTATAAACTACCTTTTTTTTTTAATGAGTGTTTGCACTAAGCCTTGCTAAACAAGTTAGAGAGATGATTAACTCGTCTGAAATGATGCGGGAAGGCCTCGTCCCAGTTGCGTGTGCTTCCTTCAGCACATCCAGAGCTGCTGCGACTCCGTGTTGTTCGGAGCAGCAGCCAGGGCTGGGCAAGAGGCTGCACGGGGAAAGAGAAGCATTGAGAAAGGGTTGGAATTTGCACACACAAGCTGAAAAAGGAACTCAGGTTATTTTTTTTTTTTAATGAGTGAAGAGTTATCCTCAAGTTGGTTTCCACAGAAGTGAGACACATCTCCCAGGGGGGTCAAAGGAGGAAACCCCAAGTTCGTTAACAGCTTTCTTGGAAGTATTGTTTTAGCAGTGCTCACCCCTATGCATGGCAGGAGCACTTTGCAAGACTTTGCTTCACTTCATAAGACCCAAGTTCCTTTGTGGGTCAGACTCGGCTGCAATTAAATCAGCTGCAAAGTTTGGGCCATGGGAGATCTGTCTGGTAGGCACTCTTCTCCATCCTCAAGTGCCAGCCCATATGCACACCCCATTGTACCCAACACTGCACCACTTGTACCCAGGACATCCATCAGGAGTGGCCATTCCCTCTTGCTCCCTTCACACCACTGATAATGACAAATGGCAAGACACAGGTTTCCAGGATGACAATGTTCCTGTGGAGAACTGCCTAGTCTAACCTGGGTCCTTCCTTGAAACCCATTAGGGAGCCAGCTGCTTTTCTACATTTATGGTGTATTTAAAATGTGTTTTTAATTGAAGACTATTTCTCCAAACACTTAAAAAAAACCAACCCAACAAAAAAAAAAAAAAAAAAAAAAACAAAAAAAACAAAAAACAAAGAAAACCCAGCGAAACCGCAGTTCATCATCTGCTGTGTGACTGCTGCCTCAGATTTTGAACTGGTTTAGAAACTTTAGCACACTTAACTGTGACCTCATCACCCCAAAACAACACAGGAGAATGAGCTTTTGTACCTGTGCTTTTTACACTAAATCATTCATCAACTACTTTTTTTGTCCTACCCCGGTAGGTTTTTGAAATAGACTGCTCTGCATAAAGTTTAAGCTAATAATTCTACTGTCAACAATGCCAAGGATAATTTTCTCTCTCTCCCTATTAAAAGCAGCTTTTATGACATGAAGCTGGGCACAGGTAGTTTCACAAAAAAAGGTATTTTATTATTCTTAGCAATATTCACCTTGAAGGAATATGAGGAAAGCATACACTTTTTACAGACAATATATAAACATGTTGTACATAATTAACAATAACTTAGTTCACTAATCCAAAAATAAGCAAAATAAAAATTAAAATAAAAACAGAAAATACTGAAGATTTTTTTATGCTGATACAAGTACAAAATAATTTAAATCTCGACTGCCGTTGTCTATGCTGCAGTGACTGACAATATATTGCACTTTGTCAACTGTATCAGTAATCCCTGTCTTCCACCCACATCCCTTCCCCTTGCCCAAATCCTACAGAAATTTGAGTTGGGTACAAATAACGTACAACTGTACCATTGTAAAAGGTAAAAAGTAAAAAGGACCTAACTTTTTACCTCAGTAGATTAAAAATTCTTATGATTTCTCCCAACCAATTTAGTTTCCCATTTATTTCCGCTTCTTTACAAAGTGCACCTATATGCCTACGCAGACCAAAAAAGGAGGAAAGCAGGATTTTCATGGCTGCTTGGTTCTTAATTATAAAATACTAGAATTACATGTTTAGAAAAAAAATTAACATACATCCATTTCTTTCATTCTGTGGTTTTTTTCTTCAAAGCAGGACTTTTGCAGTAAAGATACAATTGGCTTGATCAAAAAAAAAGAAAAACAAAAAAAAAAGAAAAACCCAACAGCAAAATAGTTAAAAATTTAAAAAAATAAAACAAAAAGCTTGTCACAGAGTTAAGCTTACGTGGTTTACATTATCAAACCCCTCTGTTCATTGGGGCATTTTCATCAGAAGTATAGCTAAATATGTACACTGTATGTTATACTGGAGCTTGTGTTCACGAGAGGCATCAGATCATAACAATCAATAGAATACACTTCACATTGGCAATAGCTTTGTTTTCGGTCATTTACGTACAATATGGTTTAATAATGGGAGATTTAAATTTTTTTTTTTCTGGTTTTTTTTTCCTTTTTCATATAAAATCTGCTGTGGAGAACAGACGTTCCTCTCAGAACAATGTTTTCCTTCGTCTCATCAGCTGTCGATGTGTCTGGGATTTGACGGATGTGTGAAGCTCAAACTGATTGTCTCTCTCTTTCCCCTCTCCAGTGATCTCAACCTCATTTCTGCCCTTCCTCCCTGTGAAGTCCACCGGGGCCTGGATGCCTGAGACAGCACACGCTCTGGGCTGGCTGCGTGTGGATGTGGTGGCCACACTGCCCTAAGTTTACCCAAGCAGCTAATCTGCATTTTTAAGCGACAGCTGCCAACACAACAGAACAAAATGCTTCAACCTCTAAAGCCTGTGAGTTGGATGTTTTTTATGCCCTGTGATGGTTTTGGTTGTGCTAGAAGTTAGCTGCAACACAGTTGGTAACTGCCTATATCTCACCCTTTGCTGGTGCAGGACTGCCTTCCCCAGAGTTTTCTCCCAACAGTTTGTCTGATCTAGGTGTCTGTTTTGAGGAACAATATTGTAGTTGGGAGAGGGGCTGTTTTTTTAAAAATGAATCTTTCATGTTAGGGTAAAGAATGAAGAAATTGTATCAAAATAATCACCATCTTGGGCACATTAAAATCCGTATTGCGGCTAAATTTTTGCTTTGTTCCTTCCCCTCGCAATCTTTTCCCCCTTTCCTAGTAGTTTTGGTATGGAAGATAGATGGAGCTAATCCAAGAGGGCTGTTGAGTATGTTCACCCCTCTCCTCCTTGTTTTGAAGGCAGCGTTTCTTACAGAGTAGCCAATGCAATCAACAGCACAAGAACATGCAATCAGAGGGGTTGCGGCTTTTTGTGGAAAACAAAATAAATATGACTTTGTGTCTGAATTTTAAAATTACAGTTTTATAAAGATGTCCCTTTTTTTGTCCTTTTTTTCTTCTTTTTTTCCCCATCCCAAAGTCCACAATAGAAATCCAGCATGTCTGGCTTCCAGTGAGCCAGTTCCATCCTGGGAGGCTGCTTATATCTCTTTACAATATTCACAGTAATAACAAAGAGAGAAAGGAAAGCCAGTTCCAAGCCTTTTCCTTCAGCTTCTGCCATCTTTTGCTTCCTGCTGGACCATTAAGCATCAAACAGGTGAGTTCTTTTTCCTTATACCTGAGGGGGCAAAGTGCATTACAGGCACCACTACACATTTCTGCAAAAGACCCATCATTTGCAAGGTTTCAGTCCAGCATTAAGAGTTAAACCACATGGGAGCAAAGATTCCCTTTTGCCTTCCCTACATTCTCCTCTTGGCAGAACATTTTCTTATTTGGCGTCATCTTAGGCAAAGCCCCATGTTCTTAATCTCTGGGTGGGTCTCTTGGTCATCAGGTTTTATCCCATGGCTGTAACCATGCTGGATGGGTGTGGATGTCCGAATGAGATGCTGGAAGATGGGTGGATGGGGGTAGGTGTTGGTAGGATGTGTCCAGAGTGGCTGAAAGGTGGCAAATGCCCCATGGGTGCCATGTGACTAGCAAGGGCAGCAGCGCTGAAGGGAGACGATTTCTCCTGCATGCACTTGGACAGTTCCTCAAAACACTCAGAGCCTTTCTTGCTTTTCTTTGATTTGTTGGACATTTTCCTATTCCTGGTCTGAATTCCTTCCTTTTTCATGGTCAGAGGCCTGTTCACCTGCAAGAAATGAGAAAATCAGGCTCATGCAGACAAAATGACCTTATTGTGAAAAAATGAAAATATTTGGACAACCCCCATGTGTTTTTCCTGGATGGAGACCTTTTTCTGGCCAAAAAAAATGGTGTTTCTCTCTGCAGAACTTGTTTATATTGATTTGTTTAATAAAACCACACACACAAAAAACCCCTAGACATGAAAAACAAAT